TTTTTTTTTTTTCCATTTTATGTGTTTGGTACAGGGTCTTACTATGCAGCTGGGACTCAGTGATCCGTTTTCATCCTTCCCTGTGCCTGGATTACGGACGTGGTCCCTGCACTTGCCAAAGCAGGCACTTAGTCCTCTGAGCTGTCTCATCTCTGTCTGTCTGTCTCTCTGCCTCTAGTCTCTGTCTGTCTTTGTACAAGGTCACTTTGGACTTCGTGCTTGCAGGCAGGCGCTTTTTAAGCTGATGAGTCATCTCTCCAGCCCAGGAAATCTTTCTTTTCATTGGTGTTGTATGTGTGATACAAAGTAATTACATTTACTTTGGGGGAAACATTTTTTGATCCCTTTGCTCCCTTTTCCCTCCTCCCTCCCCTTTCTGATCCCCTTTCCATTTTCCAAAAAGTGCCTCCGTTTCCTGTCCTCTTTATTTTATTCTTTAATTAATAAACATAAAATGATTAAATTTTTTCATAAATCATCTTTTGTAACTGGTGTGCCATTATTTGCTTGTTCTGGCAGTAACATCATAAACATAGTGAGGACACTAGAAGTGCTGTCATTCTTTTTTTTTTTTTGGCGGAACCGGGGATTGAACTCAGGCCCTTGCGCTTGCCAGGGACGCGCTTATTCCACTGAGCCATCTCCCCGGCCCTTCTGTCATTCTTGAATGCTTTTTTTTCCCCATGTAGCCCTTTTTTTCTTTTGTGGTACTGGGGCTCAAACTAGGGGACTTTGTGCTTGCCAGGCAGGCGCTTATGCCACTGAGCAATATCTTTTATTAAATTTTATTTATTTGTGTGTGTGTGTGTGTGTGGCCAGCTCAGCCCACCAGGGGGCGGGGCTGGCTGGCATGTGGTGCTGGGGGATTGAACCCTGGCCCCTGTACTTTGCTCAACTTGTTCTAAGTAGGTGCTTTAGACCACTGAGCCATCTCACCAGCCCCACTGAGCAATATCTGATCACACACACACACACACACACACACACACACACACTTTTTTGAGAGATGGTCTCACCATGCAGTTGAGACTGGCCTTGTGCTCACTTATGTTAAAATAGGAAGATTATTTCACTTTGTACCTCAGTTTCTTTGGTTTTCTCAACTACCGAATGATGGTAAGGTTGTTAAGTAAATGAGATATATGTACACAAAGTGCCTGTCTTAATTGGTACGTGAGTTACATCTGTAACTTTTGTTATACTGCATTGACAGACTTCGCAGGAAATCAGAAGGAATGGAATGCTTATTATCCTTTAAATTTTGTTGACTTAATGCCTTTAGTATTTGTGTGTGGTTGAGATTTTCCAAACCTTGATTTCTGGGACATATGGGGAGCAGTGATATTGTGCAGGATTCTTCTAGAATCTGAATTCAGTAGCAGACATGCTTCAGATGTGATGTTTTGACAAAATGTAAATTACATGTATTTTTCTCACCTCATTCCCCTTTACTAGATTACAGCGGGGCAAGAAGCAACAGATTGAAAATGGTAGTGGAGCAGAAGATAATGGTGACAGTTCGCACTGTAGTAATGCATCCACACATAGCAATCAGGAGGCAGGCCCTAGTAACAAACGGACCAAAACATCTGATGATTCTGGGCTTGAACTTGATAATAACAATGCAACAGTAGCAATTGATCCAGTAATGGATGGTGCTAGCGAAATTGAATTAGTGTTCAGGCCTCATCCCACACTTATGGAAAAAGATGACAGTGCACAGACAAGGTAAGTGTGCAGGTTTATTTCAGATGGTCTGAGTTCAGAATGTTTAATTTCGAGTAAAAGAGCAATTTTGTGTAGGAAATAGAAAACCAGTTTTTGTCCCAATGGTTGTTTTCTACCTCCCTTTTGTACTTGGCATCCAAAGCTAGGCATCTGAAGAGTGATCCTTCTAGACAGAAGGGAAAATAACTCTCTTCATGTCTTAACTGTGACCCCAGGGTGCCAGTAGGTTTTGAAACTTATGCTGGTAGAGTGGATTCATTGCCTGTCGTTGAGTGAAGGTAAACATCAAATATTTACTGAATGAGTGGCTGAATGTACATATGAGTTTTAAGAAGAGGGCAAGTTTTCATTAGGCAAGTCCTGCTTTTTATTTGTCATTGAGAATTCTGGGTAACCCCTTTGTGAACAAAATGACCAGGGTACTAATGATACCATCTTCAGAGTATGTACTTCATATGTATAGTTTACTTAAATAAATCCTCCTGTAAGAAATGGAGCATTCATTGCCTTTACGTAAAAAAAAAGCAAGATTAAACCTCTCATTTTTATTTAAATTTCATAGATAATCAGGTTCTTTCATATTACTATTCTTCTTTGATGCTGTAGCCAGTAGGTCTGATCATTAGTGTTAAAGGGTGTTGCTGATTTTATTTTGGGTGTTTGATTTTATCACTTTATAACATGTTTCATAGAAGGTAAGGGAGCTTTAATGACCTGGCAGTCAGTAAGAGTGCAAGTTCTTCTTTCCAGTGCTTTTCAGTAAGAAAGTTTTAGATTACAGAGCAGCAAATTTTTTGAATAACTGAGCTTTTTAGAAATATGATAGTTCTGTAATTTAAGTGCATTTTTCTTATAATGCTCTATACATTAAATTTTTAATGGTTCACTCTTCCAGATACATAAAGACTTCAGGTAATGCCACTGTTGATCACTTATCGAAGTATCTGGCTGTGAGGTTAGCTTTAGAAGAATTGTGAAGCAAAGGAGAATCAAACCAGATGAACCTTGACACAGCCAGTGAGAAGCAGTATACAATTTATATAGCAACAGCCAGTGGCCAGTTCACTGTGAGTATTTAGGGTAATACACTTTAAAAATGGGGAGCACATTAACCAGTTCTGAGTGCCAGGTGGTGGGGAAGTTCTAACAAGACTGCAAAGTCACAAGGACCTGAAAGAAGAATCACAGCAGAGTAGTTGACTTTTTGATACCCTCTGTTTGTTGTGTCATGAACAAATGTAAATGACAGGTATTCCTAAAGATTAAAACAAACAGGGGCAGGGGAGATGGCTCAGTGGGATAAGCGCTTCCCTAGCAAGTGCAAAGGCCTGAGTTCAATCTCCGGTTCTGGGAAGAAGAAAAAAAAAAAAAAAGATTAAAACAAATCTGTGGAACTCTTTTTGTTCTATTTATGTTTCACATAATTCTCATTTTTTTTTTCTTTTTTGTTGTAGGTATTAAATGGCTCTTTTTCTTTGGAA